CAAAAGCAGCCAAAAGCAGCCAAAAGCAGCAACAGCAGCGCAGGCCCGACCGAGCCGATCAGCGCGCAAAATTCTCTAATTTGTTGGGGTCATCAGGTGTAACATTCTTGAGATTTTCGATATTCTGTTAAGTCCCCACTGAACGGCGCAGCTCGGAAGGAACGGCTCTTCATGTCGGCTCAGCCGAGATTTTCGCACGCCCTGGCTGAGCAGCGGTGCATTCGTGATTTGCGGATGGCCACTCTGGGCGGAGGATGACTCCAAGCTCGACTGCTTAGCCTCTCCTTTCCGCCCTTCACCTCGCATCTCCTCGATCACGGTCACCCCCATCTCTCAGGCGTGCGATTTGGTCTCGCTGCGAACTCGACACCATGGCTGGAATCGGTGTTGCCACGGGCGCCGCGCTCATCGCCAACGGCAGCTCTTCCTCCTCGATCGGCTCCCCCGCCTCCGCCTCCGCTTCCTCTTCGAGCCGCACGATCACCGTGGGTGTGCTGGCGATCCAGGGAGCGTTTCGCGAGCACGCATCGCACATCAACCGTCTCAACACGCTGTACCCGCTCGAGACGATCCGGAGCACACTCGTGCGCACTCCCGAGCAGTTGGGCGAGTGCGATGCGCTCATCATCCCGGGCGGCGAGTCCACGGCGATCTCGCTCGGCTGCGAGCGCATCGGTCTGCTCGAGCCGCTGCGCAAGTGGGTGCGCGCAGGCAGGCCCGTGTGGGGTACGTGTGCGGGCATGATCATGCTCGCCCGCGAGGCGAGCGGCGGCAAGAAGGGTGGGCAGCAGCTCATCGGCGGCGTCGACGTGCGTGTTGGAAGGAACGGATTCGGAACGCAGGTCGACTCGTTCGAGACAGGCCTCGAGATCCATGGGCTCGATAAGCAGAGCGAACCGTTCAACGGCGTCTTTATCCGCGCGCCCGTCGTGGATGCCTTGCTGCTTCCGACCGACCTCGAAAGGGTGCCGGTCGACCAGCCCACGCTCGTAAAGCGTGTCGACCCAGCCACTTTGCCAGAAGGCGTACCTGCTCCGCTCACCACCTCGGACGCAGTACCGCTTACGCCAGGAGAGGAGCTGCCTTCCACCGCGTCGGAGCCGCCCGTGCCCAAGCTCGGTAACGCCGACCAGGCACTGCGCATCGTCGTTGCCCCGCCGCTCTACGATACGGCCGACCCTGTGCAGTCGGCACAGAAGCGTCCGCCCATCGAGATCCTCGCCACGCTGCCGCAGCCCGTCACACCGCCCAAGTCGCCCGCCAACCAGCCGGTCGCCTCCACCGCCAGCCAGCGCGACCCGCGCCTCGATCTGCCCCGCAGACCCGAACACGACTCCCAGATCGTCGCCTTGCGGCAGGGCAACATCCTCATGACCAGCTTCCATCCCGAACTCACCCCCGACCCGCGCCTCCACAATCTCTTTGTCGCCAAGATCGTCGTCCCCTACAAGCTCGCCCAGTCGTAGCCGTAGCCATGGCTTGGGCGAGCTTGAGCGATGTAGGTTCCCGGATTCCTAGCAATAGACTATAGACTTTGTACTTTGCGTGACGTGTGGGGTTTTCGATTGGGACTGGCTTCCACAGGTTGCGTTTATGGGGGGGGGGGGGGGGG